TGCCGGGCCGTGTCGAACGGACCCAAAGATCCCAGAGAAGGACAAGGAATAGGAGGGGTGAGGGAAGACGGCGAGAAGCGAGGCGACCAGCACGACCCTCGTGTGCGGGACACGCGCAGGGCGCAAGAAAAGGAGAGAGAGAGAGAGAGAACGAGAGAGCGAAGAACACTGAAACGAATGTGAGAGAGGGAGAGAAACAAGAGAGAAGGGAAACGACTGTGAGGGAAAGAATGAGAGAGAGCGGAAGGGAGGGAGGGAGGGAGGGCGAGAGAGAGCCGCTTGGCCACCCACGGAGGCGAAGGAGGAGGGGGCGAGGACCGCACGAGCAGAGCCGCCCAGAGGGAGGCTGGCTGGCCAGCCTGACCAGGCGGGCGACTCCAGAGAAGTGAGAAGGCCAAGAGCGGCGCCGAGCGACGGGAGGACGGGGAGGAGAGAGCACCAGCCCGTATGACGAGCCCCTGGCCACTACCCATCGTGCGCTGGGCACGCGCGCTAGCGCTGAGACAGGCCAGACAGCCCAGAGGTGAGAGAACGGCCGCGCGCCTTGTCCGAATGTCTGGGCGGGCGAGCCGCCCAGGCGGACATCCTGAGAGCAGAGGCGGCGGCGGCGGCGGACGACTGAGGCAGCAGGTTCCGAGAAGCGCGAGGCAACTAGGGACTGCAGCACAGGCATGAGAGCGCACCGGGCCCTGTCAGGTGGCGAACACCAAGAAACTGGAAGAAAACATGCGACGAGATCCGCAGATCATGACCTTCAACGGTGTCAGGGTCAGGAGTTCGAAACTTGGGAAGGCAGCTGCTGGTTCTTCAAAGAGGAAAAAAGGAACGGAATCACGGAGTTACGGAGTTACAACCACAGCAGACGTGGCAACGACCGACACACATCAGACGAGCCGGACAAGGGGGCTGAGGAAGAGGCCCCTCCCCGTCCCAGGGTACTCCTGGGAGCCGAGGTTGAATGAAGTCGTTGGTGCCGCGCGGCCGCGGGCGGGGCCGCAATCGCGCGCAAGCGCGCGCGCGCGACCGTGCGCGGCACGGCCCCCTGAGGCGGACGGGGAGAGGCAGGCCACAGAGCTCGCCCAGCGGTGGGAGCCCGCCAGGGGGCGGGGGCGGCCCGACAGGGGCGGCGGCCCAGGTCCGGACAGAGGGCGCAAGGCGCGGACGGGGCGGAGGCCCCCAGCGGAGCGAAAGGGGGGGAGGGGGGGAAGGAGGGGGGAGTCGGGCAAGCCAGGTGCGCTCGCGCCTCAATTGACATCATGTCCCTCCCTCAAGACGAAGCCAAGACGAGGATAACATCGGACGAGAATGGATCGGGAATCTCTGGGATCTGGTGGTTCTGGAAGATGTCTCGGACGCCGCGGCCTTCTCAGAGCGTTCCGGAACGCTCTGAGAGCGTTCTGGAACGCTCTGGAACAGATTCATCTTCGTCCTAGCCCCGCCCGGTCCCTCCCATCCCTTCCCATTGCTTTGGTTTTCTCTGAATCCGCGGACGCGTGTCACAACCGATCAGGCGCAACAGGAAAGAGGGAGCTGCGTGCATAGGAGGAGGACGGGGTGGCGGGTGAGGAGGGAGAAACGAAGGATCTGGCCCGCCCTGAAGAGGCCGACCGGCCAACAAGCCAGGGAGGCGACTCCGCAGAAGTGAGCCAGGTCAGCTCAGGCAACAACCACACACCTGTATGGACACAAACACGTATGACAACTTACGCCCTCATATGCACTGGCACACTTACGTATACACGGACGCGTGCAGGCATACACACAAACGCAGATACACAAACACACACGCACACGCACCCGTCTTCAGTAATTTGTCCCTTCTCGCCTGTTCAGCGTCTGACGTGCCTTGCATGAGCGTCAACTTGCCTCAAGCTGGCCCCAACATGGCCCCAAGAGATGGCCCAAGATGCTCCCGTCGGGCCCCAAGAGCTGGTGACCCGCCATCGCCAGATTTCCAAGACTGGAGTGGGTGATCTTCCAAGGAGAATTCTGCTGGGAGAATAATCTCCATTATAACTCCTGAGCGGCCGCTGTTATATATACATATATAGAGAGAGAGAGGGAAAGGAAAAACAACAAAAATGCATAACCATACACTTTCGGAAATCAGCTCGAATTTCTTGGATCTGCGCTGAACCCCTCCCTGGCGCCTTGAACGCCAAGAGCGGCGCCGGAAGTGTCGCCAAGGCGTTCTGGTGCAGCCGAACATGTATGTTTACGCATAATCTTCGAAGGGAAGCACTCAAACCCCCCAAGCAGTGTTTGCACTAGGGTTTGTTTTTGTCTTCAAGAATTACACAAAGGTCGGTCGGATTTTCGCCCGGTGGGCGCCCCTGGGCGCCTCGCGAGCGCCCTACGAGTGGTGGGTCGGCCAAGGGTTGGTTTGATGGGCACCTCCTTTGGGCCTCTTGCGCTGGCTGGTGTTCCAGGCTTTCGCCCGGTGGGCGCTCTTGGGCACTTCGTGGGCGCCTCGTGCGCTGGCTGGTGCTACGATAGCATGACGCAGATTGGACCACATTGCGTATCTTGCACGCTCTAGCTTACAGAAGACAAGTTCCTCCGCATCGCTTTCAACACGTAGCTTGCGCCACACATCTTGCACAATGTCCACCAGCCCTCTGGACGGAGGTGGTTTAGAGCGTTGCCTCTTCCACTCCCCTTCTTCCCCTTCGGGGAGGGGAAGGGTCTATCCCTCCACAAATACACCATATGAATACTACTCTCCTCTCTCCCCTAGTGACGTCCCGTCCAAGAAAAAAACGGTCCTCCTCCGCGTGCTGGTTTTTACAAACAAGAATCCCCCGAAACGTGTTGTTTTTCAAAATGCTGCTCTCGCTGAGGCGCTGGCCTCATTTTCGGGCTACCGCTCGTTCCGCGTCGTCCTCCCGCTGCAACGCTGGCCTCATTTCCGCGCTTCCGCTCGTTCCGAATCGTGCTCCCGCTGCAGCGCTGGCGTCATTACTTCCAGCGCCATGCCACGGCATGGTTTTCGGTCCTTCCAAATAGGCCCCAAAATCTAGAAGAGGCCCACCGAAAAAAAACATCGGACGTGATTACATATTCGGTGTCGATTCGTTGATTGTTTGGGCCGCAGAAGCCCCACCCCCCACACTTTGGGCCGTCGCCACGCCATGCTATGTCAGGCTACGCATCCTCCGAATCTTGTTCCCGCTGCAGCGCTGGCCTCATTTCCGCGCTTCCGCTCGTTCCAAATCGTGCTCCCGCTGCAGCGCTGGCGTCATTATTTCCAGCGCCATGCCACGGCATGGTTTCCGGTCCTTCCAAATCGGCACCAAAATCTAGAATCTGGACCCTCCCGAAACAGCCATCGGACGTGATTACATATTCGGTGTCGATTCGTTGATTGTTTGGGCCGCAGAAGCCCCCCCCACACTTTGGGCCGTCGCCACGCCATGCTATGTCAGGCTACGCGTTGATCTTCAACGCCAAGGGATGAGAGGGAGGGGTAGGACGTCAGATATGACGCGAGTGCACCTAGCTTGTCTCCTACTGTATGTTGCAATCTGTGTATGGTGCAACCTATGAGATGCACTGTATGGGGTGAAACGTATGTGACGTAAGCGATGTGGTACAGCCTATGCGGCGCAAACTACGGGGTGCAACATGTGCAGTGCAAGGTAAGGTGCGCAACTGGTTCTCACAAACGAGTTGACACCCCCCATGCCCTTGCAACCATCACACCCACCCGCCAGCAACTTGGTTTGCACAACCCATGCGGCAGCGATTGCAATGAGTGCTTGGCGTTGGCTGGTGCATCCTTGCGGCCGCGCTAGCCCGCGTATGCTGGCGCGCACAGCGGCCAGCTAGCTTGGGGCGGCCGACGCGGCCGCGGTGGCGCTGACCGCTGGGCACCTCCCAACGGGCGTTTCAGTGCGAGTCGGTGACTTGGGCGGGCGCGGTATCATTGCGACGCCGACGACGGTATACACGATTCTGACAATAGCGATGATGGTGACGATGGTGGCGATGACGACGGCAAGGCCAATAACGGCGCCGATGTTGACCACGCCCGCCGATAATGTGGACGATGCCCTCGCGTCGGCGATGCAGTTTTTTAAAAGGAGTTCGACATGCGCCCGCGGCCGACGCGCGCGAGTGGCCCGCGTGGTATCATTTGACACAGATCGTGCCCCCCCCCAGCACGCACGCAAGGGCGTTCGACTGTGTTCGCCATGCGGCGCAGAAAGCCCGGTTGGCAAACTTTGATGAGCATGTGGGAAAACCGACTGTCTTCTCAAGAATCCGCAAGAACTCGAGCGAGAGTTTTTCCCACCAGCCGAACCCCCAGCACCGCTAGCCAACGCACGATGCGCTCAAGAAGAACCCACTACCGACACCTCGGAAATGACAGCCCACCCGAGGCACCCACAGGGCATCCACGTGCGCCAAGCACCCACAAACTTCGAACTGACAGCACATTGCTGAACGCACAGGTGAGAAACGCTATGTGCAAACACACACAGTTTGGAAACCATTCAATGACTCGGCTCTCATACTTTACGCTGCGTGCAAGCCTCAAGCTCATCGAGATGGTCCCCAAAAGGGGCTCAATACTTGACCTACTGCTTAGCCTCGTTGTGCCCACCATAGCGATCGAAAGTTTACCACATGCCCGCAGGTCTCCAAAGGCCCCTAAGACGCCCCCCCCAAAGATAACGCAACGACCATGCAACGCCGCTTTCATGCTATGTTGTGGGATTTCCTCGCTGCTTACTGCTTCTGGGCGAAACTTCCAAGGAGCGGCTGGTGATGCGCTGCAAGGGTCGGTATACGAAGCGAATGGTTCAAGAACGAGTGTGCGCGAATCCACGTACACAACGAATACATCCTGGCGAGATGACCAGTCGGGGGCACCTTGCCATAGCATAGCGAAGCTATACCACATGATGCGTTCTGTAATCGGATGGACTGTAAACGTTGAAACAAAAAGTCTCTTGCTCCCACTCGCATTCGTCACGCCACCACTGCTTCCACGTTTCGTACTTCGTTCAGCGTCTGAGAAGATGATGCATCATCTACGGGCAGGTCCTAACATTTCCACGCCCTGCGGGGAGTGATGGCGATACTTGCGTTCGGGGGTTGAATTTCTACTCGTGGTGCAATACGTTCGCATCATGTTTCCATGGCTATGCCCAACTTGTGCACCCATACTGCATCTGCTGCTACTCACTTAGCTTTCCGTGGTAGTGGCCCGCGCAGGTACGTCCAACCTGTCAGCCCGAACATGCCTGAATGTGATTGCTCGCTTTGTGTGCGGCTCCTGGTCTACAATTCGATACGTACGATCGCACATCGCCGCCACTCGATACAGGAAAGCGTATCGGGCGGACACAGGTGGAACGATTCGGAGGAGCGCATGCAACAACCAGGGGAGATGATGCCAACGAGCGGGAACAAGCGCAATGCAATTTTACGCGAACTCATTCGACCATCGGGTACGGCAATTGGTCTGTAGGGCGTGCAAAACTCCGCGCCGCCGAATAAGGAGAACTGAGCTCACTGATAACCGCGTATGAAGGTGTTGACGCCTTCTTCTTACCGTTGGCATCTTTGGACTTCTCTACAGCATATCGTTGCCGACGTGCGTAATCCGTCATCTCCCTCTCAGATACGTCTTTGCCAAAGAAGCGCCGGAATGCTAGCCTGCCCTCCCCGTTCGCAATAATGTGATGCTGCGCTTCCGAACTACCTGGCCGAACTGAGGACCCACCCTGATCCCCAACACAACGATCTTGCTCTGAACGGAAGGAAAGCCTGTCATGCCTAAATCCAGACGAGCTCGGGGACAATTGAGACAATGGTTGCAGTAGACGCTTTGGTAATAATGGTAGGATTGTATGGGGGTTCTCCGCCTAGAGAGGGCGTACTGGTGTACGGGTTCGGGTTCGGGAGCACGCGCAAGCAAAAATATGAAATAAGGGCGAATCAACAGTGATTGAATTCATCTCAGTTGTCAAATGAGAATTTCTCTGATTTCCGAATGCTTCTGAAACAAATCTGATTGGAAAGGAACATGCCCTGGCTGCTAGAGAAACTTCTCTGAACCATTACTGCTCCTGCGAACCATCCTAATTGGAAATGCCCGCCGCCGTGTGAAATCCTCTGGTCCGAAATGCTCCTACTCCTCCTCCTCCTCCTCCTCAAGATTTCAACGGCAATGGGGGAGGTCCCAGCCACCAGAAAAACGCATCTGTATCACAATTGCTCATCAGGAGTCCGGAAGACTCAGAAAAGATTCCAACGATTCCTGTGGGATCCCGAGAAGACTGTAGGAAACACGCGGATCAAGAGGAAATGCTGAACATCTAGCATGGCAGCGTAATGTTCAGAATAACCTGGATGAGACCTGCGTGTTTCATACAAGTCCAAAAAGGAATCCTCAAAACCACAGAGGGTTGAAGTATCCTCAGCAAACAACCGAAAACATATGGAAGCTTCGGGGGATCTCTGAACACCCCAAGAACCAATCCGAAAATGCCAAGGCCACCGAAGACATCCAACAACTTCAATCCCGCCGAGAGCCTCCTCTCGAGCAGTTCTTCGTGGAATGGAATCGGGGCAGCACTGGTGCGGTCGAGGCGGAGGGAGGCCGAAGAGGGCGGAGGGGGCCCTGCCCGATCGAGCAGAAGGCTTCCTCGTACTGGATGGGAGCAGGAGGCGGAGAGGAGGACGAGCGACGAGAGCTGATGTTGGCTCGTGCTGCTGCTCCTCCTCTGTTCCTCCTCCTCCTCGTTCTTCTCCTTCTCCTCCTCTTCCCAGTCTTCCTCCTCCTCGCTCTTCTCCTCCTTATCCTTCTTCTCTTCCCTTCTCTTCTCTTCTTATCCTCTTCCTCCTCCTCCTCATCATCATCCTCTTCCTATCCTCCTCCTTCTCCTCCTGAACCCTCCCTCTAATCCTCCGCCTTGTGCAGCTCCTCCCTTCTTCTTCTCCTTCCTCGTGTTCGTCCTCCTCCTCTTGCTCCTCGTCCTCCTCCTCCTCCTTCTCGTCCTCCTCCTCCTCCTCCTCCTTTCTCCTCCTGGTCCTGCCCTGCCGTTTACCCCTCCCTCTCGCCCTCCTCCTCTCGACCATCGGCGCACCGTGCACGCGTACACACCTCGGACGTGCGCGCTCTTGTGGGTGCAAGGAGAGGAGGGCAGGGGAGAGCAGGCGGGCGAGCAGTAAGACCAGGAGGAGGCGGAGCGAGGGAGAGGAAGGTGACGAGTAGGAAGAGGAGCACCGCGAGAGCAAAGAGAGGGGGGATGCTGATAACCAGGAGCAAGATGGGGAGACGGCGGATGAGGCGCGATGTGAGCGGGAGAACTCCTGGAGGGAGAGGGCGGATGAAGAGCGAGGTGAGAGAAGGACACCTCCCCTAGTCCTGTAGTTGGGAACCCTGTAGAGCGATTCTCCGATGGAGATAAACTTCGGCCGCTTCTTGGTCCCCTTCTTCCGTGGGCCGCCCGCCCACCAAGCTTTGCCACGAACACCTCCCCTGCCGCCGCTGTCCACCACTTTCTTCTCCTCCAACGCCGATCTTTCAGCTCTATCCTCGTACCATGTCCACTCCAACGTATCGGTTCTTGCTTGATCACCAAGGCACACAGGGTCCAGACGAAATCAGAGCAGGAGAGAGGCAAAGTAGAACCTCAGCGTGCGATTGCAGATCGATGCAGCTATGCTCAATTTGTTCGACTGCATCTCGATCAAACCCGATTGATACGTCACCTTTGTGGAAGTGCTACGCTTTCTGGGATGAGGGGTTCGGAGCTGCGCCCTCGGCTCCGCGTCACGCGGGCAGCGGCGGCGACAACAGCAAGAACAGCAATAGTCAGTACCATCAACATACGAGCATGTGCATGGGGGCAGAGCGCAGTCATCGTGCTACCATAACGGACGTCACGAAAGGAACGCAGGGACTTTTCTGGCCACGGCGAGCCTCGGCTTCGAGCAGGTTCCTTGGCCATGATCGAAGGAACGAGCTGGAAACCAAAGCCCCTCCTGAGCCCGAATTGTTCATCGTTTCAGCTTGGAGGTGGCCGGGAAGTCTGCGCTGCATGGGCCCCGGGCAGATAGGTCAAGAGGGGGGCGGGGGGCGAGACAAAATCTGCTCAGGATCGATCCTCAACCCCCTCCCGGGGTCGAGACTGACACGGTTTTCGAGCAGCGTGCAGCCGTGGCGACGAGGGGGGGCCCTTTCTGCCCCTTTCCTGCTGGCCGGAACCAATGCCGAGCCACCGGCCCGCCAGCCGTGACTGCAGGCGGAGGAGCAATCGTAGCGGAGAGAAAACGAGGAGGGAGAGCTCCCACGGATTTCTTGGATCGGCGTTGGGCCCCCCTCCGTGGCGCGCGGAGCGCGCCAAGGGCGGAGCCGGAGGCGCTGCCAAAAGGGTCTACCGCAGATCCAAGAAATCCGCGCGTGGGTCCGACAGTTTATGTTTATGCAGTTTGTGCTTCTGAGCGTGCTCCTTCACACTCGCGTCTCCGAGCCGTCTCGGCTTCTCTCCGTGTGCTGCGCCTTGTTTCTGATTCACAGTCGCGTCTCCGCGCCGTTTTTCCTGCCTCCTTTTCCGAAGAGCTGCAACTTGCGCACTCTTCTGCCCACGCGTTCTGCTGGATGCTCGGCTCAGTGGTGGTGCCCTTCCTTCCGTGCGCCCGCGCCTCTCTTGGGGGGCCTCGTAACCCCAGGGCCTTATGAGTGTAGTTCGGCCAACCTCTTAGGATGGGGCCGAGCCGAACATCGGGCCTCCAGCCGATGTGAGGAACCGTGCGGATTTCTTGGCTCGGCGCTTGACCCCGGCGGGCCAGGGTCGGCGCTGGAGGCGCGCCAGGAGGGCCCAGCGCTGATCTGAGGAATCCGAGCGGACGTCCTGGAAATCATGTGTGTGCCGTTGGTTGTTCTTCGAGATGTCCTGCGGCTGGAGAAGGCCGCCTCTCCCCCCGACGGCGTCGCAGGAGCGAGGTGCGCGGGTGCGGGAGCGGCCAGGAAGACTGCTCCGCCAGGTAGAATCCGCACCCACAGCTGTCGGGGTCCTCAAATCCCCATGGAGCGGGGCGGTGGACGTGGATACTCTCCCGTCCTCGTGGGCGTGGACAGATCCGTGCCCGCCACTCCTCGAGAGGCCCTCGCGATCCCTGGGCACGACGCCGAGGCGGTGGATGTGCCCTACTCCGGAAGCCCAAGATCCAGAATCTCACCGTTACTTCCGCCGCATTCCGCCAGCCTTCCGCCGAAGGCGAGGTGCGCCGAATCCCTGCCTGGAACGCCCAATGCCAGGAAACTGAAAGCACACGTGGCTTGATCCACACGCGGAACATGAGAATGCCACCTGCTCGGTACCCGTGCCCAGAGCCAGCGTGCCCGGCCACACGAGAACCAAGCGCTGGAGGAGACACTCGGGGAAACTCAAGGCTTGACGGCGAACGTGCCCCCAGATTTCGCAGAGCGAGATTTCTTGTCGTATGTGTCCGCTGTATCCCTGAGATCCGACGTCGCGCATAAAGTGGGGCATCGTGAGACGTCTCGACTGGAGCCCTGGACTCAGCTTTCTGCTCCATTCTTCGAGCCGGACCGATCTGTGAGGGTGCCCGGCCCGAAACCTGATCGGACAAGAACGTGAAGCGCCGATGTTGTGCGTGTGGGCTCTTGGGGGAAAAAAGGACAAGGATGATGGCGACGACAAGGCGGCGGATGACGAGGATGACAACGTGGATAACGGCGAGGGTAGCGAGGGGATCAGGAGGACAACGGGTAGGAAGACAAGCACGAGGACGAGAAGGAAGATATGAAAGAGGACGCGTACGAGGGGGAACGAAGCGGTACCCCCCACCCTCAAAAGATATGATGAACCTCGGGAGCCATGAAGCCTTTTTGGGACCCTCTTTGGGGGCTTTCTGGGAGCCTCTTGGAGGCTTCTGTGATCCTCTTGGACTGTCCAGGCGCGTCTCGAGAGTCTGTGGGGGCTCTCTTGGGGCAGTTGGACTGTCTCGGGGCTCTTTGGGGCAGTCCCGGGGCCTCGTCGGGCGCTTTTGGGGGCCTCTGGGCGGCTCTTGGGGGCCTCTTGGGGGTCTCTTGGGGCGCTTTGGGGGTCCCCTGGGGGCCCTGCGGGGGCTCTCGCTGTTTTGAAGCTCTCCGGGAGCGATTTCGACCTAATTCTGGTTCGGAGCCCCGTCCGGAGCCGATATTTTGAGGATGTCCCTACCGAAAAATCAGTCTTTCAGAAATCCACTAGCGAATTTTCAGTGTGCGATCCGCACTTTTTAGTTCGAGAAAATTAACACCCCTGAACCAACGGTGCACGCCAGAGGCGCTTCCCGTCATCCGCCACCGTGCCCCCTGGCACGTTTAGGCGTGGAAAAAAGCCAAGGTCCCCTCCATCTACTCGCGGACCCCTACTCACTGAGGCCACTTCCCTCGCGCCCGCTGGAGGATGGTGCACTTCCAGCATGACAGCTAACGCCTGAACCCCATTCCACGCGCGCGCACGCTCAAGGATGGTGCACTTCCCGCTTTGCAGCTAACGCCTGAACCTCCATTCAACGCGTGCCCGCTCGAGGATGTTGCACTTCCCGCATAGCAACTAAGGCCTGAACACTCATTTCACGCGCACCTGCTCGAGGAACGTGCACTTCCCGCATTCCCAGCCGCTGCTCCCAAGCGCTCCAGGGCATCCCAAGCAAAGATCCCTCGTTAAAATAATGGATCTGTGTCTAGAGCTTCTCAGACGGCCCGTGCAGGCAACCGAGGACAACAAGATGGCCCCAGATGCCTCGAAGATGGTCCGAGATGGCCCTAATGCGGCCGAGCGTTGGTTCAAGACGGCCCAAGATGCCTCCAACAGGGTCAGAAGAACTCGAACAGGGTCAGAAGAAGCCCAAATTAATGATTTCTCATAGGTTTTTGACTGCTGTTCGCATTCTCGCCTTTTTGGGCTGCCGTCAGCTCAAGACGGCCCAAGAGGACTCCACGATGGCCCAAGCGGCATCCTAGACGGCCCCAAGACAGCCAAAGAGGACCTCCCGTGGGACCGAGAGACGGCCTGAGGCCCTTCGACGACCCAAGACGACGCCAAGACGACCCCACGACGGCCTCAGACACTCACCATACGGCCAAGACAGCCCCAAGACGGTCCAAGAGAGCCCCAAGACGGCGTAAGAGAGCCCCCAGACAGCCCAAGAGGGCCCCCGGGACCCCCCGAGAATGCTTCACAGGAGGCCAAGACGTCCCCAAAGCGGCCCAAACAAGTTTCGTCATCACCACCACCACCACCACCACCACCATCATCATCATCATCATCATCATCATCATCATCATCATCATCATCATCATCATCATCATCATCATCATCATCAGCATCAGCATCAGCATCAGCATCAGCATCAGCATCAGCATCATCATCATCATCATCATCATCATCATCATCATCATCATCGCCATCGTCATCGTCATCATCATCATCATCGTCATCATCATCATCATCATCATCATTGTCATCGTCATCGTCATCGTCATCGTCATCATCATCGTCATCATCATCGTCATCGTCATCGTCATCGTCATCAGCATCATCAGCATTATCAGCACCATCATCATCATCATCATCATCATAATCATCATCATCATCATCGTCGTCGTCAACGTCACTGTCATCGTCATCGTCGTCGTCATCATCATCACCATCACCATCACCATCACCACCACCATCACCACCACCACCATCATCATCATCATCATCACCATCCTCATCCTCATCCTCGTACTCGTCCTCGTCACCCTCCTCGTCCTCCCCTTCATCATCATCACCATCATCAGCATCATCATCGTCGTCATCTTCACATCACCATCATCACCATTAGCATCATCATCATCAACACCATCCTCATCACTAACGAAAACATTCTCATCACCATCATCACCATCACCATCACTATTATCACCATCACCATCATCACCATCGTCCTCATCATATGAATATTCACCTTCACCTTCACCTTCATCTTCATCCTCATCATCACCATTACTATCATCATGATTATTATCACCAGCACCATCATCACCGCCACCACCATCACCATCATCATCATCATCATCATCATCATCATCATCATCATCATCATCATCGCCATCATCATCATCAGCATCATCATCATCATCATCATCATTACCATCATCATCATCATCATCACCACCAAACATCACCATCATCATCAATCGTCATCATCGCCAACACCATCATCGCCAACACCATCATCATCATCATCATCAGCAGCAGCAGCATAATCACTATCATGATGTCTCTCCCAAGCCTGGGGACACGAAGTGTCTCACGTGACGGCCTCCCGTGCCCCCTCGAACAATCGCCACCCAGAAAACTGGGCTGGAACGGTGGCGGGACTTGCAGCAAACAGCTGGATAGGGCGAAGACGCCTGGCTCAGAACAGCATGAACCGCCAGGATCCCAGGGGTTGGGAAGGCGGCGCGAGAATATGGTTTTCGTGTCGCAACTCGGCTCTCCGGCGGCCGATCGGGAAGATCCGGGCACCCCCGAAACGCCTCTCAGCGAGGCGCAGCTGCTGGAGAGCACCCCGATGCTGGAACACCGCCAGAACCGCCCGAAAGCCGAAAGCCTCGAAACTCGAGGAGGGGGGGGTCAGAATGGCGGAGGGCGGCAGAGAGGTTACGGTCGTTTGTATGGAAGCCTATCTTTGTCAAGATGTTGGCGGACTAGCCGCAAATAGCAGCAAAGAGCTGTACATAGAGGCAGCCAGTTAGCGGCAAATAGCGGCACGCGCCCCACGCCAACCGTCCACCAATCACCCCCTATTCGCCGCTAGTGGCTGCAACATGCAAAGAACAAAAGCAACCTTCGGTGACTTTCCATGCTTCCAATCAAACAAACATGAGATAGACCCACCGCCGAAAACGACCGACAGCGGAGACCCTGAGATCCGACGTCTCGAAAAATTGCGACAACGTGGGAAATCACGGCTGGAGCCCCTGACGCCATCTTTCTGCGCCATTTGTCGAGCCGCATCGATCTGTGAGGGCCCCGGGGCCCAAATCTGGGGGGCAACGCCCTGCTTGAACGAAAATTGAGCCGCCAGGACCTGATGGCGAGGGCGCGCGGGCGGGCGGTGGAGAGGCCCACCGCCCCGAGCACCCGTGGCCATGGCCGCCGTGCCGTCGTGGAGCGCTGCGCCCAGGCCCGCCGGCGCCTGCCGCAGCAGGCCCGCGGGGCCCGCGAGGGCGGCGGCGCCGCTAGCGGTCACCGCGGCGGCGGCCATGCGCCCCTCCGGCTGCGGCCCTCCGGCTGCGGGGCGGGAGCGGCCCTGCGGGCGGGAGGGGCCTTCTCGTACGGGTGGCGACAGGGCAGTACATGTAGCAAGGGGCATGCCAGGGTAGAGGATCAGCTCACGTGGCTGGTTTTCCTGGCGCCTCCTGGCGCCGGGAGGCGCCCGTGTATCGAGGAATGGGCCTGGCGGCGGGGCGGAAACTAGCTGCATGCAGCAGATTTCGTAACCCCTCTTCCCCCCCTTTTCATCCGGCACGATCTTGGCGGCGCGCAGAGGGGGGTAGGGGGACACGAAGCTAGGTCGAGGATAATATCGGGTCAAGATAAATTGACAATCACGGGAATCCGGCGGCTCTGGAAGATGTGTCGGGCGTCGCCGTCTTTTCCGAGCGTTCCGGAACGCTCTGAGAGCCTTCCGGAACGCTCTGGAACGGATTTATCCTCGTCCTAGCCCCGTTCGATAGGGGAAGGATGCAAAGCTTCTTAGAAAGAGCCTGCTTCTTAGAAGGCGCCTGCCTTACATCTACAGATGGGGGCCCGCACCTTCAAAGAAGCAGCCTTCTTCTAAGAAGCCTTCTCCCCTCCCCCTGACCCCCCCTCTGCGCATGGCCAACCTTACCAATCCCTGAGATCCTGGCGTCTCAATCTTCCTCGAGCCAGGCGTTTGCGCCCGGCTTCGGGCCCCGGGGCCCTCACAGATCGACCGGGCTCGAAAGAAGGCGCAGAAAGATGGGGTCTGGGGATCTGATCGTGATTTTTTACGATGTTGTATCTGTGTTGGCGCCGTCGGATTTCGGGGATGCGCGACGGCATGTTTTGGTTACTTTCGGCCTCGGGGGGACCGTCAAGCAACGGCTCGGGATGGAAACCGGCCCTGGGAAAAAGTGTCGGGGTTCCCGTGGACCGCGTGTTGTAAGACGAGGCCAGGACGAGGATAAATTCGGGTGAGGATGAATCGGTAATCTCTGAGATCTGGCGGTTCTGGAGGATTTCTCGGGCGCCGTGGCCTTCTCAGAGCGTTCTGGAACGCTCTGAGACTGTCCCGGCTCTGGAACGGATTTATCCTCGTCCTAGCCCTGTCCGATGCAGATTACATCAAGATGCCCCATGTCTGGGCTTTGGTGCGCGGCTTGCTGGTCGGTGCATGCGATGCGATAGCAGCGACCTGCACGCTCAGGCTTGGCCGCTCCCTTCCCGTGCCTGTCAAGGTTTCGGGTTGCGCACAGACCGCCCCCGCCAAGCAGTGCCTGCTGGTCTCACCGGACTCTCCGAATAGTCTGGGGCGGTCTCAACACCTCAACCCTGGGACGAGGAACGCCCCAGGGGCGCCGCCAGAGGCGGCGCCCTGGGTTGTAGAGAAATCTCTGGGCTACTCGAAGGGCCTGTTGAGGCCAGCCTGAGCTACCTTTGGGGGGGTCTGCCTGTGCGCAACCCGAAGCCTTACCGCCCCGCGCCCCCCCGAAAGCCGCGCAGCGAAGGTTACTCTGGCGAGGGGCCACTTCGACGTTGTCAGTGCGACCGAGGGCCTCGCCGGCGCCGGGCGACGCCCGAGCGCCCCGCCGGGCCACGCCGCCCGGGCGTCGGAGGCTGCCAGGAGGTGTTCCTGTGCACCCAGGTGTCCCCAGCTTGTCGTGCCGTTTGGGGCTCCACGGGGGCCCCAGAACGGCCGCGTGACCGAGGTTGCTTTGGAGCCCGTGTGGGGGCCCCCATAGGGAGCTCTGGAAATGGACGTGCGCGCCAAGAAGGCCGCATACATGAAGATGCTCCCCCAATTCGCGAGGCCGCCCTTGCGCGAACTCGCCCGTGTAGCCGTCCGCCTTCGCTTCGCTGATGATCTCTGGAGATCCTGGGGACACCTTGGGCCAAAGACACCCCTGGCGACACCCGAGAACGGGCGCCCACGGGCGGCTGTTTGAGCCAAGCGTGCGCCGGGTGCGGTGCTTCGCTGCCGTCGGGGTGGAGGGGCACGCGTGTGCGGCAGAGGCTACGCCTGCTCAGAGTTGTTCGACACGCGCGAGGGGGTGGACTGCGAGGGCGGGGGCGGGTTCGGCAGGGGCGGGGTCTGGATCGCGTTAGAGGGTGAGTTCGGCGCGTGTGGGGGGGGGGGAGCGCAATGGGCCGCCGGGCGGAGTGGCACGGGGAGCGTGCTTGCTGAACAATCTGGGCTGTGCACAGGGATCCCTCCCCCAACCCCTCCCTGCTCCTCTGCCGGTATGACCTTGGGTGCTGTGAATAATGCCAGGCGCGCCACTCCTGTCACTCCAGGGAGGCAGCCAGGCAACCGAGACCCTGGGATTGTATGGTGCGTAGGTTCCCGTGCAAAGTTCGCTGCCTCGAACACGACATGGCCCAGCCAAAAAAAACTCGCTTCACCGGTTGTCACATGGCGAGGGTCGCAGGGGCGTCGGTACTATTTCGAAGCGCCTGCTTCTGCACGATCTCACAACCGCTCGATCCACAAAGCTTTCGGATATGGCCAACCGAAGGGGGGGACCATGTAGAAGGAGGATGAGGTATGCTGAGAGGGGCGAGGCATAGGAGTTTGAAGAGGAGGAGGAGGACATGGAGGAGGACTATGAGTTGGGAGCGAGGGGGAGCAAGCGGAAGGAGCATAAGAAATGAGGAAGAGGAGGATGCGCTGAAGCAAAGGTGAGACCGACTCGAGTCTGGGCTATGCGCCGCTCTCGTTCCATCTTCGCTCGCTGCACAGCCGTCGCAGGCTCCCTGGATGTTCGCAACATGAACTGTGCACAACTCTGGAGCCTTGGCAATCAACCTCTCAGTTCCACAACAGAACGAACCTATTAGCACCAAGCTGTCTGCGTGAGAGGTGCCGAAGAAATAGATGGAGAAGATGAACCGACCACTGACATGGTTCCGGCAAATCACGCGACAGTGGTAATTATCGTGTTGGACGACAAGAGGGGATAGCAAAGAGGGGGTAATAAATCAACTGCATGCAGCGGGTTTCTCCGGAGGCGCCACCGTGTCGAGGAAAACGCCTGGCGGCGGGGTCGAATCCAGCTGTATGCAGCAAGTTTCGCCCCCCCCCCCCCCGCCTTCTCCCCCCCCTTTTCGTCCGACCCGAGAGCATCAGGCAAATGTGGTAATAAGCATACTTCGCCACAACTGAGCTGGTCGAGAGCAGACGGACGACCCAAGACGCCCGAGTCTATGCCGAATTTTCTCAGCACGGGAGTCCACGCGCCGAGTGCTCATTCTGACAACCTCGCTAATGGCTCGATGACCAGCAGCAGCGGCACAGAGAGGAATGCCAATCCTCCCATCAACCGAACACCTCTGAGCGGGCGGTGCGTAGGCGGCCACACTGCAGATCACAAACAAAGGGTGAATCATCTCATAATAATCAAGCACAACATGAAGGAACCGCGTGGAGGAGTGCAGTGCGGACTTGCAAAGTGCGCTCAGAATTCATAAGGTAACGTATCATTACTCAAGTTCGGATGGGAAGGGGATGCTTGACAACACATCGACATGTCTAGATTGTCTACTCCTGGTTGGCCAGTGACTCTCCCTCTCTCTCTCTCTTTCCCTATCTGTTCTTGCTGTCTCCCTCTTTCTCTCTGCCCCCGCGTTTTTCTCGAAGTTCGGTGCCGACTGAAATTGAAGTTCGGGCAATCTCTGATTGTGCACCCCTGCACCCCTGCACCCCTTGCAACCTCACTCTCTCATGCACGAGTGGATTTCCTCCTTCTCGCCCTCGGTCCTAATCCCACTGCCACGCGAGCTCGTTGTCGGTGGTGCATGACAAGCATCAGTACTCTCTCTCCCTCTCTCTTCCACATGCCATCACGATGTATTATCTCATGTCTTCCTCATGTGTTCTTACCTTCCTTCTCCTCCTTCTTCATCTCTCCTCCCTTTTCCCCTGAGGATGGGGAAGGCAAAGTGAGCATTTCCTTTCCACATTGCTCTCTTCGCGAGCTGCACTGTAGCAAACATGACACGTTCCACTCTCGCCAACCAATAGTCGTCATCTCGCCTGGAATCCTTGCTTTCCTCCTTCTCTTTGCACCCATACCCTCCCACTGCTGCTCCTCATCCTGTCGCCCAACATGAATCACTGGAGACCTGTCACTGGCATGTTGGATACGAGTTGCATGCAAGGTCCCGTCTCTCCCACCCCTCCGAAGGCATTCATAAAGCAGGCGGCGCAAATCAGTACCGCGATCATCCCAAACGAGACCAGCCTGAGGCAACATATGGCGCATCCAGATTCACGCGAAACAAACCACTTGTCAGAAAGGCGCTGCGCACGCGGATCCAGGCGACTAAGAAGGGAACTTATGGTGAGGATGGCGTGGGTCAATAAACTAGCTACAACTACTGTTTTACATTCCGCTTGTTTTTGTTTCGTGAGGAACGCTGTTACTGCGTCCCCGCCGAATTGGTTCATGTGAAGTTATGAATTTCGCGGGTAGGGGAATATCAAACAACTTCCGCACCAAATGTCGATAGTGCACTGGAGTCACCGTGTGATTTGCCACTGACATCGGCGCGAAAATTCAGATTGCCGAATGTGCATTTTGCAGTGGCCCCGCCGACAAATGTCAATTTCGGGCAAATCAAAACTTGACTGAGGTCCGGGAAGCGGGGAAGACGTTATGGAAGCGGGGAGATGAGATAGGGGACACGAGGTGAAGTGAAGCATGGGAGGGAGTTAGGAAGAGGAGAGGAGAGAAAGGAGAAGTGGAGAGGAGAATTGGGGGGCCAGGGAAAAGGGGAGGAAGACGAGGGAAGTGGAGTGAGCGAGGATGACGGGGGAGGAAGATTAGGGATTGTGGAATTAGAGGGAGGGTGGAGGAGGAGAAGACGGGATTGGGGGAAGGAGTGGCTGGAGGAGGAGAAGAGGGAGGCAGGGGGAGGACATGACGGGAGGGGGAGGAAGGGAAGGAAGGGGACGTCAGGGATATGAAAGGAAGGATACTACACATAATACGAATAAGAAACATATCACGAATACGAATACTCCTAATATGAATGATCAGGATAATAATGCACACTAATAATACGAATGCTAATAACACCAATCATATTACTAATGAAATACTAGCAACACATATACGAATGACAATAATTATACGAATGATCTGAAGAAGAAGATGAAGAAGAAGACAGGAACAAACAAGGACATCGAAGGCGGACGATCCTCGAAGCGCGCCATCGCTGAACCAACCTCCAGGGTCGGCAGCGCGGGGACACCAGCGAAAAGCCGCGAGGAGGCGGGAAGCGACGAGGCGGCGGACCCGGACCGTCCGTCGGGTAATTGGCTGCGCGCAAGTGGCCCTGCAGACGAGAGTGATCTTGGGTGCGCGGCTGCCCAGTCGTTGCAAGCGGTGCCACAACAGCGGCCTGCTTGCATGAATGTGGCGTTTGCAACTGCCCCCCTCCGCGCCTCCCCCGAAGCCCGCGCACCAAAGGCCACTGTGGCGAAGGGTCACCCTCTCGCACGTGCGACCGATACGAATGGAATTGTGAGTGGGTCGCCGGTCTCCAGTCCTCTCGGCCCCTTCCCCAAGATCCATGTTTCATCCCTGATTAATTAGTGGCGCGAGGGGGGTAAAGGGGAGGGGAGAAGGCCTCTCAGGAGTCTGCTTCTTAAAAAACGCCAACCTTACATCTATAGATGAGGCCCGCTCCTTCTAAGAAGCAGGGGTGCTCCTAAAAAGCCCTCCCCCCTCCCCCTGCCCCCCTCTGCGCATGGCCGACCTTCCCAAACAATCCGTGAGATCCTGGCGTCTCAATCTTCCTCGAGCCTCGAATTTGCGCCCGGCTTCGGGCCCCGGGGCCCTCACAGATCGACCGGGCTCGAAAAAAGGCGCAGAAAGATGGGGTCTGGGGATCTGATCGTGATTTTTTACGATGTTGTATCTGTGTTGGCGCCATCGGATTTCGGGGATGCGCGACGGCATGTTTTGGTTACTTTCGGACTCGAGAAAAACGAGCAAAAAGATGCGGTGTAGGGCTCTGGTCGTGGCTGATAATCCTGAGCCATTCGCGGACAGTTCCCCAGGGCCAGAAGCGACACCGCGGGGGCCGAAAGGGGAAAAGCCAGCGGCGCGATTTTGCAAGACGGCCAAATGTGGGACCTCTGGAAGTCTCCAGCTGCCTGCCCCATGCATCCTCCAACCCGCTCGTGCTCCTCCTCTCTCCTCTCTCGACTCTCCTCTCTCCTATCTCCACTCTCATCTGTCCTCTCTCCTCTCTCCTCCTCCTCCCTTCCTTCTACATTTCCTCCTCCTCCTCCCTTCCTCCTCCTCCTCCTCCTCTTCCTCCTCCTCCTCCTCATCATCATCCAATCCGCTCTGGCTCCTGCTCTCTCCTCTCTCCTCTCTCTTCTCTCCTCTCTCCTTCTTATTGGCATCTCCCATCTCTCCTCTGTAGTCTCGGCTCAAGGCACAGGGGTGCCTGCGAGCTATGACCTAGCCCTCCCGAAGCAAGACCGTTCCCGCCCCCCCAAAAGGCGCAACTAACACGTCGACCACACCCATCCGCCGGCGCGCGCCATGGCTCCCAGGCGCTCGCACCGCCGCGCGACTTCGGCACCTCGACGCACAGCCCCAGACTCCGAGAGCAAGCTCGTGAGGAATAACGCACGCGGCGAGGCACTCTGCCAAGGTGGAGACCAGTACCTGTTCATTCAGCACTTCGTCTGTAAAATCGTCAAACTCTACATACCAGTACGCCGTCCGGACGTCTGTCCTGCCGTACCTCAAGACGAACTGCCTGATTAACTACGTCCTGTTGGGCCTACAAGACTCGCGGACAGCAATCACTATAACACCGACAAGGTCTTCCAGACGCACAGCCCCGAATTGTTGTTCATGCCGACGCTGCTTCGGGTTGTAAGCCCATCAAGCCACTAAGGACCCCCCCGGGGTTATCATTAGCACCACACCGTAATTAAGTAATTCGGGGAGGCGGTTTTCGCCGAACGATCTGATCACCAACGCGCAAATAAAAACGAACATGAATAATTCCCGCGCCCCGGCTCGGGTGGTAGCCCCAATTGGAATTGGAATAATAATAAGAGTGAAATACGAGTAATGATAATAAGACTAAGAATAAGAATCATGATAATAAGGATAAGGATAATGATAAGAGTAATAATAAGAATACGAATAATAAGAACAAGAGATAAGAATAAGAGTACTAATAAGAATCATGATCCGGATCCGGATGAGAATACAACTAAGAATGAAGCGAATAATAAGGCAAATAATAAGAATAACAGTAGCAATGGTAATACGAATCAGAATACTAATACTCAACATAATGAGAATAATGATAATGCTAAAAACTACTTCTCATTATCTTTACCATCCTTGTCCTTTACGCTGTGAATTACCACTCGTGTTGAAAGAGTGTTGTTTCCCGGCCGTCGTGTGGGGTAGTGCATCCGAGGACATCGCCCCCGCCACGCACGGCGCGTTATCTCAGAACCGCACCCGCACAAACTAATTACGACAGCTTATCCAAAAAGATAAGAGGTAAAACAAGACCAATAATAACATGATAATAATACTATGAATGAGAATAAGTATACGAATGAGAGTAATGACAATAATAAAAATGAAAATCCGAAAACCGACGGGCTTCCCTGCTTCTTTCTTCCCACCATCCTTTTTTTCACATCTTCTTAATCATCCTTGTCCTATACGATTCTTATTACCACCCCTATTGAAACATTGTTTCTTCCCAGCCGTCGTGTGGGGTAGTGCATCCGAGGATATCGCCCCCGCCACGCACGGCGCGTTATCTTAGCACCCGCACCGCCAAAATTATTCGCCCCCCATCGTAGGCACGGGCGGTTCCTTTTCAAAGCTGGGCTCTCCCTTGCGTGGGACTTAATGTTGTTATTGTTGGTGTTGGCAGTGTTGTTGTTGCTTTTGATGTTGATATTGTTGTTTGTGTTGCTGTTATTGGCCTTGTTTGTCTCGATCTAATTATTATTGCTGGTGTTATTGTCGTTGTTCGTGTTGGTGCCGTGCCGTAAGGGAGTCTTGAGGAGGAGGAGCATGAGGATTTGTTCTGTTTAGCTGGGAGTAATACTAATAAGAAGAATAATGATGCTAATGATGACAAGGTTTGCTTGTTTCGGCGAGCAGACTCGTATGCGTTCACATAAAGGTGCGAGGTGCCAGGGTAACGCTTCTGGGGTGCCGGGTGCGTGATACTTTCGCCGGAGAGGGGGGGGGTTCTTAATTGCTTGATGCGGTTACCTGTCAGCCTTCAAGACCGACGTACAACCTGGAAGCCACACCTCTGACGCTGGTTGGCGGCACGAAGCTGGCGTACCACATGTGCCTCTCGGACGAACCTCCTGAATATCTTCATTTTGCTGATCACCTTCCTGATGCTCTACCCGCCGGCACCTGCGTAAGGGCCCCGCCCCTCGCCGCCGCGCCCCCGCCGGAGCTCAGCTCCCAGCGTGGCTCCCCGCCCGCTCGCCGTCTCCCTCCTCCACGCGTCCCCGCCGAGGACGGAGAGGAGGACGCTGACAGCGACGACGACGCCCCCTCGCTGCGGGGACGGACCTCCTTCGCAACAGCGCTTGGCGCTCACATGGGCACGGCAGGGGCGGCTCAGTCCTCTCCTGCCCCCTTCCGTCCCAGCGAGGACGACGACGACAACGACGGTGCCGCACGGAGCGGCTCTGCCGCCGCGCCCTCTGGCGACTCCCCGCTCCCCGGGGCGCCGGGGCACTGCCGGGCGTCAGCAATGGCTCGGCCATCCCCTGACTGCCCGCGCCCCGCGAAAAAGGGGACGACGACGACGGCGGTGGCGACGACGCTCGATCGCCGTGTCGCGCCGTCGACAAGACCAGCGCAGGAGCCCAGCGCCTTGCTGTGGCGGACGCTGCGTAGCGGCCCCCGGGCTCTGCCAATGTTGCCAACCGCGGGCGAGCCCAGCGCCGCCGCTGTCGCGGCACGGCGGCAGCCCCCAGCGCCGACCCCAACACCACGGAGGTGCAGCCCTCCACTGAGGGCGCCGCGCTGACCCTCTCGCACAACGTCGAAAATACCACAGCAGGGACGCTCTGCGCTACCGCCGCCGACGCCCTCGTCGACATCGCAGCCGACCCCAGCCCCCCCAGCGATGGTGCTACCGCCGCTGACGCGGGGGCCGCCACGACGGTCGACGCGGTCGCCAACCCCACCGCGGACACCGACGCGGCCCTTGACGCCGC